GGCAAACCAAACTACGTCTCTGAGTTGATGTTATCATATGTTTACGATTCAATTAAAAATATTTTATGTTAGCGTTATTACATCTCAAAACAAGAACTGTATTAACGCTTAACACAGAAAGAATTTGTCTGAATGGTTTTAAATTATAATTTAATTTAATTTGATTTAAAAAACAACAACAAAACAACCAAAACCGAATTACATAACGCACCCTCCTGACTACCGGTGGAGATTTTACCCACAAATTATAGCTGCATATTATTTTTTTACAAACTGCAATGACTGATTGTTAAGACATAATCAATTTTAGTTCTTTCAGTTATCAGTTACATACAACCTGATTCAGCTGAAATAATGAAAATTAGAGAAACACATGTGTGAAGACTAAGCCTCGAGGGCAGACGCACCTTGTACAGACTATAGACTTTATAGTTGATGAATTTCATCGTAGTGAAAGAACTGAAAACTCAGTTCAATTTTATAACATCGTTAATTACAGTAAACATTATAATCACCACATTCAGATAAGACAGCAACATAGTTCTGTATAAACACCAACAACAAGAATATATTTACAAATTTTGATATGAATCTTTCCGGATCTACCCATTCATGGTAACTATATCGTTGAGCAGTAAAGGATATTGGGTTTATTTGTGCATCAAACATTCGAAGAGATTCCAATTTTGTTATATTGTTGATTGGTTGGTTGGAAGAAGAGCTTTACTAGCTTTATAAGCAAGCTTGTACACATTTTGACCAAGACAGTCTATTTGAAACAGAACTATACTGAGTCAAAAAAGAAACTTCACAAAATGTAATTTGAAAAATAATGAATAATTTTTTTCTGATGATACATCTATGTATCCAAAATGGGATCCCTGTCTTTCGACACTAGAAAAACGTTAGCAAAACCCACTCAAACCCATCCATTCGTCGTGCAAATGATGTTAGTGCCAAATCAGGTTTTGCACGCGCAGTCGATCACGTGATCTTCGCATCGAAGTTTTCTTCATATGCACGTGTTTGCATTGGCCTCAAGAATTGAAAAAACACTTTTAAACCACAGTTCTAACGGTACTTGAAATGCCACGATTGTCAAATGTGCAACGTGAACATGCCGTTGGCATGTTGCAAGCGGGAAGATCAGTTATTGACGTCGCAAGAGCAATGGGATGCAATGGGACGCAAGAGTACTGTGTATGATTTGCGAGGTCGTCTACAACAAACTGGCACCACATCTGATCGCCCAAGGTCGGGTCGTCCACGTGTGGCGTCACGAGCAGAAGACCGTCAAATCGCCCTACGTCACCTACGTGACAGATTTCTGCCGGCTACACGAACCAGGGCTGAGATGTTTAGAGGTCGACTGTCCTCACAGACCTTTCTAAATCGGTTACGGGCTGCCAATCTCCATTCTCGACGTCCATATCGTGGGCCAATATTGACGCCGTTTCATCAACGTCAACGTCTGCTGTGGGCCCAACGTCACCTCCGATGGACCCAGAGAGACTGGAATCGAGTCGTCTTTAGCGATGAATCCAGGTTTACCCTCAGATTCCCGGACGGCAGGCATAGAGTCTGGAGACGACGTCGTGAACGGTATGCCCAATGTTGTGTACAGGAAGTCGACAGATTCGGGGGCGGAAGTTGCATGGTGTGGGGTGCATTCTGTGGGAACAACTGTTCCCGACTTCTGGTCATCCGTGGAAACCTCACAGCTGCTGCTTACCGCGACCAGGTGCTCACCCCTGAACTCGTTCCTTTCATGGCGGCTCATGGCCCAGGTCTACAGTTCCAGCATGATAATGCTCGGCCGCATACCGCGATGTTGACACGAAATTTCCTTCAAAACGCTGGAATCAACGTCATGGACTGGCCATCGAGGTCCCCTGACCTTAATCCAATAGAGCACGTTTGGAATGCACTTGGGAGAAGGCTTCGTGGTCTTAGGAACCAACCTCAGAATTTGCAGGAATTTGGCGCTGCCTTGCAAGAGCAATGGCGCAGAATCCCCAACCACGTGTTCACAAGCATCAGGCAGTCGATGAGGAGACGGTGTTTGGCAGTGGTGAATGCGCGGGGCGGCCATACACGACATTGAACTGAGAAATTTCGCATTTTTATTCTTGTGACTTGACATTCTGTATACCCATGTTTTGGAACGGCGGTGTAGCCTAATAGAACTGATTATGGCACTGTCAGTCTATCGAGTACATCACACAGATCTCAGCAATGAAATGATAACAATTTAACCATCTTACCATCTCTTGTTCTTTTATAGTGCCCTGTAGAAAGAATGTGAAGTTTCTTATTTGACTCAGTATATATATCTCTAACAGAATGAAGCTGGTAATCTTACATAATTACATAACCATTTAACAGTCATCTTCATTATAACCCAATTATGAAAAATAAGTATCTCTTTTGTAGAAAAAAATACCTTTATCTCCACTTCGTACAACAATTTCGATGATACACATATTTTCATCTGTGAAACTATAACCGTGTTGGATAACAAACACAATTAGATCAGCGTACAGTAGTAAATATAACTCTATCATTGCTGCTCGATTACAAATACATGTACCTCCGTCATACTGAATAATAAGGGACTTAGGATACAGCCGTGTCGAACTCCACTTAGTGAATTAAAATATTGTGATAAACATAAATGTGATTATTTTACAGATGAAACTGATTTGTGTACACATCACGCACTATATAAAGCATTGCACAACGGATATTATTTAGAGTAAGATCACACTATAAAAGGTCTCTATTTCTACAATCAAATGCTTTTTGGAACCCTTGGAAATCACAGAGGTTCCTGGTTAGAACTGATCCCCCAGCAACCCGTGAAATAACTGACTTAATGGGTCGTTTGGTCAGGCTTGCTTCGGACTTCACTGCCATCCGACCCAGACAAGTCGCAGGCATGTATCTAGTTTAACATTAAGTGCGACTCTAGTTAAGTTATGGTGTCCCACCACCACAGAAGACACCGTGTAAACTCTCAGCTGTGCAGATTACATGTTATTGAACTACACAGACAGCCGACTGATCCTTTCAGTCATCACAAATATTCGAATACCAGCAACCACCATTGCCACCTGAGGAGGCAGTCAGCTAATTCTCGTAGCCTGCAACACACATTATACTGGTATATATCATATTGTACTGAATAAAGGTGCATTCCTGAGTGCAAAAGGGAGTGAGTATGCATGGTTTTATGCTGCTTCCAGCAATATTCTAGCAATATTAGGGAGGGAGCATATCCCAAATGGCATTCGTTCGAGAGCAGTCCACTTGTTTTGCAACGATTTCGCTTTGACTACTTTGCCATGTATAGGCCAAAAATATTCCCTGAGGACCATTTCCCCATAACCTTTGAACTTTATGATATATGTGCACCCCTCTTCTCCAAAATGCTGGATCCGCCCCTGCAGATGCTGGTGAAAGCCCAGCAGTTGTTATTGCATGCATGGGGCTGTAAGAACTGATTAAAAACTGAAAAAAAATGTTTCGTCGTAGACTGAAAAAACAACAACACGTATTAATCATTTGTTTAGTTAACTAAATTTTAAGAACGAAAACAGTAATACACTGATTGTGAAACGTTCAAAATGGTCAAGAAATCCGTCATCTGTGATATGCTGGGGTTTTATTGTGTTGGTCAGCAGTTTATGTATTTCTCCTGTGTCCTGATTGTACTGTAAACACTTATACCAAGGGGGAAGCTATTCTTTGAGCCTAACATCATATATCATATGTTGTGTGAAGATCACTTTTCACTAGTAGGGATCCCAACGGAGGCCTATTTTGGAAGTTTGACCTCTGTAGCAGCTGTAGGTGAATCACTGTCACTGTCTTTATTGCTGTGATCACTGGTTTTACTATTTGTTACGTTGTGTTTCACTGGTGGGTAGCGCCATTTTGGTTTGTCACGTTTTGTGACGTAAACTTTTCTTTGGTGAAACCTATAGACATATCTCGCAGTATCATATTGTCACTGTACTGGTACTGCTATTGTAGTTTTACTTGTTAATTTTGTAAATGTTAATTTTAGAATAAAATGGTTAAATAGTTTCTTGATGTGTGTAGGTTTCACACCATATTCCTTCACGTACACGTAACACTAGTCTTACTGAGGGCGAAGGGCAATTAAAACCGAGGAGAGTTGTCGACCAACTTGTAATAATTGTGTATAAAAAGCGTGTAAAGACAGTCTAAGGAAACGCTCGTATAATATATCGGGCTGGGCAATATTCGGCAAACATGGAACCCTCTAAAGGAAAAGTCATGTGGACCGTTATATTAGAGTGCCTTGTTACTGACCAGGAGATTGGGAGGTCACTTCCCGCCATCCTCATTGAATAGGTTCATGTCTTATTTTCGATTTTAGAACTTTAACTTCACTTTACTGAAACACAAAATTCCAACATAAATCTATTTCTCAAATCATCTGGTCTTGTCAGACAAAAGTAAAACAATATATATAACCTCGTAAGTGATGTTTTGATGAAACAAGGGAAATCTAAAACAATTGTCGATATCCGTGATAGTTGATAAGGCGCCTTTAGGGTGCGTGTGTGTGGTGGGGTTGATGTCGACCTATAAAATGGCAGGTTAGGGTTAGGGATTAAGACACATTTGGTAAAAGAAATTCCCTGTTTCAGTGTAAATTCCTCAGTCGCGTTTAATCGCTGTGCAGAATAATTGAAAGGCTAGGATATCAGTAACACGCATTTGGACATGAATGTAACAGGCTGTTGTCACGTCTGCTGTATATTTGCATAAATAAGTCAGATGCAAATTTATGGTTGTAGATGCTACTGCTTTGGACAAATTGAGGGATTAAGTTCATTTAATCACAAACAAAATATGTGTGCCACTGACAATCCACATCTATCTGACAATTCTGAAGTAGCCATAGTTGGTGGTTTGTAAGTATAAGCTTTAATTGTTTGTGTAGCTCATGCATGTGTAATCGGTGGAAGCTGGCCGTGTATAAGCACCACACAATGCACGACTCTAATGCACCTTCGTCCATATCCTCTCCACTCAGGCTCTATTTTATCTGTGTCGATGACGTCGTGTGCTATTTACCAGAGTCTCTGCTACCGGAGGCAATGTTCACATCTTATTTTTCATGCACAGTAGGCACATAAAGATGTTGAGTTCCATAGCAGCGGGTTGCATAGCAAGCTACGAGGGGCATGTATTCGCCTAAATACCTAAATAAGAATTGCCTGTGTGCGTGAGCAATGCTTATATGATATATATGTTGATATATTCATAATTCTATCCATGTATATGTTGTTATTGTGGTGTACCTGCTACTTGAGTTACCTGGTAGAGGAGACCAGCGTGTCTACTACCCAGGCATGTTGTGGTGGAGGTGAGACGAGTGTGTGTGTGCTACTGTGTCGCCATTAATGCTGGTTGTAGCTGCATCTGGGGCAGCCATGTCATCTGTGTTGGAGCCAAGCGCTTCTGTGCTGTCACTGATAGAGTGCATATTTTATGAACAATAATTGTGTGGAAGCAGTGAACCAAGTCTCTTCACAATTCCATCAGGTATACAAACAACCATGATTCGTTCTCTTAGTTCCCTTCTACCAGATACATCTGTGAAGATAAGTGAATTGTGGCTGTTAATCTTGTGAAACAGGAACCCAATCAACTGTGATAAAAATGAAAATTAGTGTGTACTGGACCATTAATGAAATCCCTCCCTAGGTCAGACCAACATAATCTACTGGATGGAAACTTCCAAATACAGTAGAGCCTACTTACAAAGCCTCCTTTCGTATGTTGGAAACTATACCGTCATTATAAGCAGGATGGCGTTACAATTAGGTACAATGGCCAATTAGGGGAGAGATGACATCATAGGAATGTATTAAGAATCCAGTTCACACCACCTGCATTATACAAATTTGACACGCACACATACACACACACACACAGGCACGCACGCGCGCGCGCACTCACACACACACCTGGAAAAAAACATCTCACCACCACGCGTACAGAGGATATTATATGAGTGCCCAAGTCATACTATGTGTGCCTAAATGTTGGTATTTCCCGAGCGAGAGCGAGGTATATACCGATATTTAGGTAGTCGTGTCCTAAACATAGTATGATATGGGCACGAATATAATCTGTTTATTACCGAAGTCGTCAAATTGAGGAAAATAAATCCTAATCTACTTTCAAACATAGGCTGGCTACCCGCCGTCGCCGCATGTAGCAACGTCACAGAAGAAAGGTGACGTCATAGCATCTCGCTCGGGAAATACCAACATTTAGGCACTCGTGTCGTAAACATAGTATGACGTGGGCACTCATATAATATCCTCTATTTATGTTAGGCCAATCAAAAATACGTTTGAAATATTTTGAAGCTATTTTTTTCAAATGCTTGATGAAATATTGAAAGAACACTAATAATTCTTCTGTAAATGATGGAAACTGTTCCCGATGTTTAACAAATGTATCCAATGAGCAGCTGGCGACTATATGTGATGAAAATGTTCAATTACACAGTGATCGAAATGGCTATTTTCAAAATGTTTTTGCTTTGGGATGTCTTTTCAAATTAGTTTTGCACTTGTATTCGTGACACTATCAGAACTGGATGTAGCTGGTTAAACGATAAATAAACCAAGTTATGAGTGAAATTATTAGAAATTATCTAAAAGTTATCTCATGAACGGCAGAAACAGGTACATAACACTAATTACCGGCCTCCGAAATTCCGAGAAAGCTGATGATGTATTGTTCTACTGCATGATCGGAATGGTAGGTTCGTCAACTGACGCAGTGCCACGAGTTATTACAATATACACTGACCGAACACTTTGAACGAAAGACAAATATCCCCATAATGTTTTCGTTAGCTACACATGTACACCCCATTACATGCCCTTCTAGTAGTTGATACTTAACGATCAACTCGTTTTTAATTCCTGAAGGGAACTGAGGGTCCCAGATGGGCTCAAGAGTCCCACCAAACATATCAGTATTATTTTGTCTCTCTCTTTTTCTAAAACGAATGATAGACTTTAAGAAGTGATTTTAAGTGTACACGTATTGCATCCAGCAAATGATTGCGTTCTGATCAAATACTAATGTCGCCAAACATAGTGCCCTGCTGTTTGAGAGTAGCGAAAGCTGTGTCGCTCAAAAATAAATCAAATATAATACAAACATGTGTTTAATATATATAACAACTGGGCATTGAATATATCTGGAACAACAAAACAGCATAAAAACGAGTGCATCTTATAGAAAGCATTCATTTAGGGTCAGGAGTATTGTGCTTTTTCTGGCTGTGATTAGTGGTATTCAATAATTTAGAACAGGTGTGAAGGCAGAGTTGCATCCCTTTACATGTTTGACAGGTGGCAAACAATGTATTCGCTGATCATAGATTGTAAACAACCGAAATCTCGTTCTCAGCTGACCAGTTGTAGGGCATTTACAAAATGAGACTATTTGTTATTAAAAAGATATGTTACCAATTCAACAACTTACAAGCAATAGTGAAAAAAGCTCGCTCTGAAGAGTTCGTCTTTGCCACTGCCAGCTGCTCTCACCGTACAGCCTCGGCTCAGAGCGGCAGAAATTTTGCAGCTCGGAAGTATTTAATGTTCTCCGGACGTTTTCAGTGCTCGCACAAAACAACTGGCATCCACAATCTACCAGAAACATGTAAAGGTTATGTATTGCAACTGACGACCCTGCCAACAATAGCTCTCATGATAAATTGAATAGCAACATATTTCAATACATTGATGCAGAACACTGGTAGGTGTGAATGAATGTGCACATCTGTCGCCTAGTTGAGCACATTTCTATTGCCGAAGGACAAAGTGCCTGAAGTGTCATAATGTTTTCAAGGTTTGTAAAGTTCAATCGAGATGATGGATATGAAGACCTTGACGGCAACATAGATATGGATATCACAGACATGTCCAACATGGCGAACTTAGGAGGAAATATACAGGAAGGCGGAGATGCGGGAAACAGACCGAAAGAGCCACCCGAAGGTTAGTGGTAACTAGTTTCAAATAATTTATACTGTTTAGTCACAGAGTAACCATTTTGTCGGTGATTATTGTTGAATTGTCTCATCTACTGCTGTCATTTTAATGGAACAACTGGGCATTACAGATACCCATAAAGAGAACACATGATCAGAGACTTCAAACCATGTGTTAAATAAGTCGCTCAAGACAGACTTTATATATGGGGATATCAATGTGCTTCAGTTTAGAGTTTATCAGTGCATAAAAGTACAGAGTTGAGTATGAAATCATCAGCAGCATGCGTCCTGGAATGGCAACAGCTGACATTGTCTTACTGAAGGCATGGCCTGATGTACTAAGCCAGTATAAGGCAATGGTTGACACACGGTTTAATAAACACTTCAACAAGTTGTTGCTGGGAAGTTGTTTTATTTCAGGAAAGTTATTATGCAATAATAATGTATTGAACTAATATAGTTATTGTTCGTCATATTAATATTGACAGTGTTGGTGTAATGACATTTTGAGAGGAGAAATGAATTGCACTTAGCAGCTCAAATGTGATTCAATTGTAATCATGTATCAAAGGTTCTCTTTAGGTTTAATGAATCATTTCATTCCTACACAAAACCTGCAAAACATTCAGTATGAGGTGGACAGTGCATCGCCCGTTCTGAAGAATTGTTTATTATTTTATCAACATTAGCTGATAACCTACATGCTTATTTGGCTCTTCTAACATTATTCCGTGGCCATTCCAAGTGTCTGGGCTTATCACATAACCAAATTTTTCTCATTTAAACAAAAAATGAGATATCTCACATTGAAAATATTTGGTGCATGACTCATAAACACACTGGGCTGGCAACATAGAATCCCTCATGAAAATTTTGAATGTATTGACTATAACCATGGTCTTGTCATGTCTGTCATCTTCAATGAGTCATACTCTCTGTCAAGCTGAATGTTGTGTTTTGTGATCAACAAACCAACTCTATTTTTAACAATTTACAACCTTTTCTGATTGGCTTTATTGCAGACCTAGGATGCTAGGAGAAGTCCTCATTTAATATGGATGCTGTTTTATCAGAGATGTCAGTACAATTGCATAACATGCTGTTCATCAGATCACCTTTTAATTTCCTAATGTTACGATGTGTGAAGCCCATTTCTGGTGTCCCCCGCCGTGATGTTGCTGGAATATTGCTAAATGCGGCGTAAAACCAAACTCAGTCAGTCAGTCAGTCCTAATGTTACGGATACAGTAGAAGCATGTTCTAGTACTGTAGTTGAAGGTGTTGAAAATACTCATTCACTGAAAGGAAGAAAGTTTTATGATCTCAACTTCTTTATTATGAGGAACACAACGTTTCGGAGTATATGCTTACTCCTTCATCAGGTGAATGAATGGTATGAGGCAGAGAACATATATATATGTACATGTAAGAACAGCAAAAGTAATACGACAACTAAGATGCAGGCTAAACAATGGAGCAAATAGAAGCCAGCACTTAGCAGTTAATTAGCGCTGAATGGACTTAACAGTAAGTAGCGTTGATAGGTGAACAGTGTATTCATTTATATCTTCCAAATCTTTCTCTCTTTCGTATCTCTTGTCATTGGCATGGCAAATATGCACTTGTGTCATTTCACGGTTACCACGTGGTCGAACTCCCTGTTGATCTTGGTGCCTCAAGTTTGGTACTTCCCAGTCTGTTGACTGACACTGTGGGAGTCCTGGGTTTGCTGCCAGGAGCATACTGACACTATGGCTGTTGAAGGCTGCAGTGTTGGGGAGTCTTCACATTTTCTGAAATGTTCTTGGTGGGTTCAACTATGCAGCACTCCCATGGGGAGGTCCCATTTGCTCTCTGGGCTGCGTGTAAAGGGAGCAAGGGCCAAAGTGACTCATATTTGACAGAGCAAACACTGTCATTGAAAAGCAGATGTCCTTACACTGTTCAGGTACTTGACATTGACATTTTCCCAACACTTTATTTTGTAGTATCTGCAATAGGGTGGTTTACTTTCTACTTTTGTAAGGATTTTCTAGTACCTTTTTTTTTTTAGGATAGCAGTCATATGCGCCCCATATGCGATTTTAAAAAAATAGCTTCGGGGATAGCAACATTGTTTTCCTTAAGACATGTCATAGTAACTTGGAAAGGCATGTTTGTGAAGGTATAAGTGGATTTGATCACTGACTCTTTCTGGTCGAGAATTCGATTTTTTTAGAGACATGGTCAATAGTCATTATGTCCTGTAGGAGGTAATGCACCATAAGGATTCATTTTCCAGCTGATGGAACAGACACAAGAAGTATCATGCTTGGTACAGGCAAACTGTTGCGAATGTACCACACATCATTTGCAATTAGACTGAGATGAGAACTTTTCAGACACCTGTATACCATGTATACTAATCACTTCCTGTTCTTATACGATTTGAGTGACTGAGACAAGATTTGATTTTTATTAACGAATAATCATGCTCATATAATTATGTTTCATATCAGATGTCGGTTTCATTCCCAGACAGAGAAATGATGCGAATGATGGGTAATATCATCTGTTGAGCTTGTGACAGCTTGTAGATAATTGCTTAAGTCTAGTGAGAACTCAATAAGGTTGAAAATGATAGGAAAATATCATTTTTGACAACAGACAAGTGATTATGGTTACGGAAGAGTGAATTGTGCATCATCTGCATCTATAATGATGACATCACTGGGGGTTGTAGAAGCTTGTACTCATAGTCTAAGTACAGTAACCTATGGTAAACAAAGGGACCAGGGCCTAGAGTTTCAAAGCTCTCTTATCGCTAAGATAGTTGCAAGTTAATGTTAATGTATGGCACTTACGACTAACTTAGCGCTGAGAGAGCTTTGAAAATCTAGGCCCAGTAGTTTTAGTTTGTTATAGCTGTAGTTTATTAAATTGTTGGGACTAAACTATACAGAAAATAGTCAGGGCTAAAAATGCCAGTTAGTTATATTGGTCATTTTTTACAAGTGTGTTTGTTATAAACATAGTTTACTGTATGACAGATGAATGTTGACATGCCGACAGTCTTACCTGACTTACTGTAGGCAGACAGGGCATCTGTGGCACAGTGTGGCCTCATCCAGCAATCCCTCCATCAGCAGCTGACCTGACTTACTGTAGGCAGACAGGGCATCTGTGGCACAGTGTGGCCTCATCCAGCAATCCCTCCATCAGCAGCTGACCTGACTTACTGTAGGCAGACAGGGCATCTGTGGCACAGTGTGGCCACATCCAGCAATCCTGTAAACCTTGCTTCACAATATGGAAACACATAATGTACATTTAAGCAACAATAATTGATTTTCGTCTTAGTCTGTCACAAAAGCCAATCCCCACAGGCCCAAAATCGAGTGGGGATACTTTAGAGGGAAAAGAGCAGAGTTTAAGTAGTGACAATACTAGGTTGCCTGCAGAAATTGATTCAAACCGAAATGCTGTGTTTTGATTGTCAACCACTACATATCATACTAGTTAGTAGTTGGATGCACTGTTTCTTGTTGAAAGATTCTTGATTTGTATGTGTGTACCCAAAATACTTTCAATAGGAATGTAAATTATGCATGCACAACATGTTTGCACACATGGAAGTCAATGGCTCATGCTGACTGAAAATAGTTAAAGAGTTATTCTCACCCGCTGCAACACGGAACGTGGAGACTTATGTACAGTACAACCAGAAATTATTGAGAATTTAAAGATTGTAATTTTTATATTTTTTTCACTCATTACTCACATATTAAATGTGAATATTAGCAGAACATAACTCCAGATTCAAAGACAGGTGAACAGTTAGTATTTTGTCAAGTCACCATGGGCAGCAATGCAGGCTTCAATCCGGAGGGGCATACTTCTGATCAAAGAAGTTAGAAAGTCGTGGTCCATGCTGTCCCTATATCGGACCACCTCTTCTTTCATTTCAGCAATTTTGTCAGATTTTTCTTATTGACACTTTCCTTCATAAGTCCCCAAACATTTTCTATTGGATTTAGGTCAGGGCTATATCTTGGCCAATCTAATAATGTCATATTTTGGGTCCGAAACCAGGCCTGTGAATGCTTTGCATGATGTTTTGGGTCGTTGTCCTGCTGGAAAATCCAAACATTTCCATAGAACATGTGAGCAGATGGAAGTAAATGTCTCTCGAGAATATCTGTGTACCGCTCACTGTTCATATTCCCTTCAAATACACAGATGTCCTGTATAATATCCCTGAGACAAGGGAACTTTCTGTATGATATCCTTGGGACAAGGGAACTTCCTGTACAATATCCCTGAGACAAGGGAATTTCCTGTATGATATCCTTGGGACAAGGGAACTTCCTGTATAATATCCCTGAGACAAGGGAACTTCCTGTATGATATTCTTGGGACAAGGGAACTTCCTGTACAATATCCCTGAGACAAGGGAATTTCCTGTATGATATTCCTGGGACAAGGGAATTTTTATCTATGATATCCCTGGGACAAGGGAATTTTTGTCTATGATATCCCTGGGACAAGGGAACATCCAGTATGATATCCCTGGGACAAGGGAATTTCCTGTATGATATCCCTGGAACAAGGGAACTTCCTGTATGATATCCCTGGGACAAGGGAATTTGCTGTATGATATCTCTAGGACAAGGGAACTTCCTGTATGACATCCCTGGGACGATGGAATTTTTTGTATGATATCCCTGGGGCAAAGGATCTTTCTGTATGATATCCCTTGGACAAGGGAATTTTTGTCTATGATATCCCTGGGACAAGGGAATTTCCTGTGTGATATCCCTGGGACAAGGGAACTTCCTGTATGATATCCCTGGGACAAGGGAACTTCCTGTATGATATCCCTGGGACAAGGGAATTTTTATCTATGATATCCCTGGGACAAGGGAATTTTTGTCTATGATATCCCTGGGACAAGGGAATTTCCTGTATGATATCCCTGGGACAAGGGAACATCCTGTATGATATCCCTGGGACAAGGGAATTTGC